CTTCACGTGCGGTACTTGTTTCTGGCGATGTTTTGGTGGTTATTTGCTGTGTTTCCTGTCTAAGATCTTGAGCTTCGCGTGGAAATACGAGTGTTTTACCGCTTCTCAGGGTTCTTGTCGGCGAATGGATCACCTTTCCCTCTTTTCCGGCAATTTCTTCTTGATCCTTATCCATTTTAGATTGTTTTTGGACCGTTTAAATATTATCCGATTTAAACTTCTTGTCAGTACGCGTTTTACGGCTTGGAATCTTGTTGGACCCAATTGTTTTGCCCGGTATGAACTTCGCGAAGTCGAATTAATATTTTGATAATTAACCGATTTATCTTATGCTTGAAATATTGATTGGCAGTCTGAAATCGTGAGAGATCCAGTTTTTATCGCCTATTCGAGACTTATTAAGTCGGAGAATTATTTTGATTTAAAAAAAAAATTTTTGGTATTTTTGACCACTTGCTCTTTTAAAATTCTTAATTTTGACAGTACTTTTATTATTTATTAAAAATTTATCGACTACCAGAGGCATTTATCGACATTGGCTTTTCCTACCTACTAGTTATCGACCTAAGTTACCGACGTTACTACTTCACCGACTTTCGTCGTCGGCTTTTCTGACAATGCTTCAAAGGCTGAATGGGCTTGTTCGGCATCTCTTTGATACCGAGTTCGCCGGTTATTTCAATGGTCGTGTTTACGAACCGGTCGCCGGCCGTGTTTACGTGCCGGTCGCCTTTTATCTTTCTTATGCTATAGCCGTTGGCTTTCGTCCTTTGTGGTACGACGCCGCTATTTTAACATAAATATCAAGTTGTTTTTTCGCTTTACTAACGCGCCGCATTATACTTTGTTTTCTACCGCAACGGATAAACGAAATTCTTTAACTACGTAGCGCTGATAAATTATTAAGAATTATCGTCGCAACGGTTTTCTCTCTTACCTTAATAATAATTTTACGGTTTATATCGTTCGTCATCTTATAGTTAATTACAATATACCGCTATTTTATCTGTCATCGCCGTTTCCGCCTTGAGACACTTTGTCTCTTTGCGTACTGATGACTTTTGGTTGCTAACGCTCATTACGGCGTTGCAATTATGTTTTTTCGCGCCGCGCACTATTGCTTTTAATTTATATTGCGACGAGTGTCTTAATCACGATTTTTCCTTCGCGCGGATGATTATCACGCCGCGAAACGTGACATTTTAGTCTTTTTTCGCGTGCTACTTGCTTATTACACCGCGCCGCGCACTAATTTTGTTTTATTTTGCGACGGGTAACCTATCACTGTCGCTGCTTTGCGTATGTGACAGGATTTTCGCACGATTAATGTTTTAACAGTTTTCCGCGCCGCGCACTTAATTTTGTTTTATTTAAGCGACGGGTGTTTTGTAAAAAAAAAATTTTTTGCACTTTTCAGTGTTTATTTGCGAAATTTCGTTCTTTAATACCACGCCGCACACCATTTTATTTTATTAATGCGACGGGCATCCTAGTCACAGTACCTTTTTGTGGTAATTGTGACCGGAACATGTCTTTCTAATAAACGCGATGTTAAATTTTGAATTGTTTGTCTGGTCTCATCTAATGACAACCACGCTTGGCGAAAACTTCTAAACTTTAAAGGCAAACTACCTAATAGTTATTATCACTATAGTCATTATCGCTATATCGCTTATACCTTCACCCGTGTCTCTAATCTGCTGCGCGAGATTTTCAACTTTTGCAATATGTTGTGCTATTGAATCGTTTGAACTCATTTTATATTGAGAAAACCTTTCATGCGCTATCATTTTATTCATCTCGGTCTTTTGTTCATAAATCGCATCTAACTTATTCATAATTTGCTTAGACGATTGACAGTTCTCAATGAGCGTAATCTGAGAGTAGTCCATTGCCGATGTGAGCAGGAACATGGCATACGCGTCGTCCTTTATCAACTTCTTCTGTTCATCCCCAGCAGCGACCGGTTTTGCTTCGGTTCCTTTGACAATTTCAAAGAGGCCTTTTGCACGTAAAGCACAGTACATCTGGAACTTCCACTGGTGATAATTTTTGCCATCAAATTTTCCAACGGAGGCTATGTCAATCCTGGCATCCGTCATTGTGAATCCACACAATCTCAATGTACCACGCTAAACTTGATGCGCTCGTATGTACGTTTTATTTTTATTATTAGGTTATGATAACCGCTCAATAGTTCGCGCCAGTTATCTCAGTCTTTTGTGACTTCACATCAACAATATTCACTTTATCTGTGGTATGAGTATCCTGGGCCCATAACCTATTACAATATAAGATCGATGTCGAATGCAAAAACGTTCTTATTACTTATTACGAAAGAAAACTTTATTATTACAATGAAAAAGTTATTACACCACGAAAGCAAGCGAGAGAAGAAGTAAGAATAAAGAGGATGCATGCGCAGTCTCGCTTGGCATAGATCGATTTGTCGATTATATATCACAGAAAAGTAAAAGCGCGAGATTCAAACAAGACTTAACACTCCCGTGAGAGCTGATCCGTGCAGGTTGGTGCAGATTTTCGCGCCTTTATTGCTCTTATGATGTCTCGCGAATGTGATCGAGCAACACAAACACGTATGACTTTACTCTCGCTATCGTTGAATATAACGCACGCGTTGTGTTTCTTTGTGCTCTTCTTTACAGTCGTAATAACCATACATTTTATTTGTGGATTGTGGAAACCGCTGCAAAGTGCTTTTATGAATGTGAGTGATCGCCAAATTGCCAAATTCATAACCCATCATACGTCGAGCCATTGTCCTTCGGTGCATCGATGGCCATTTTTCACGGTTTCCTAATGTGCATTAATTTTTGTGATTTATTGCAGCCACTCAAAATGACTGAACAGGCAAGTACGTCTCAATCCCCGTGTGAAACAGACTCTAAAACACCATGGCCAGCATATTCTGAAATTTTTTCATTTGAGTCCAAACTGAGCAACAAAACAAATTTTGCATTTACATGCAAATTATGTTTTAATAGAAAAATTATTCATGCGAATAGAAGCTCTTCATCCAACTTAAAGAAACACGTAAATGTAAGTTTTAATTTTTATTTTTATTATATTATGTATGTTATCCAAATATCAAAATGTAATAAATATCGTCAATATTTATTACATTATTAAACGGCTGCCGAGCCATCGCGGTTATTAATGTAAAATAATAATTTTTACTATACATACTTTCTATGCGGAGAAAAGAAAGGAAAGCAGCTTAAGGCTGCATCCCCACGAAGAAAGAAATAGCGGAATGGAACAGTAACGGAACAATAGAGGAAAAGAGACATATTCTTCATATCTCTTTTCCTCTACTGTTCCATTACTGTCCATTTCCGCTATTTCTTTCTTCGTGGGGATGCAGCTTAATATAATATAATTATTACTCCTGTTATTATTTTTTAAATAAAATTGTACTTATTTACATATAATTCTATTCTATATGAATGATCCTGTAGTCATTTTAGATATAAAACTATTAAAATGATTAAAAATAGTAAAATTATCAAGAAATGATTTTATATATATAATATTTTATACATTTTATGGTAATGTTACGTCCTGATAGATGTAGAATTTTTTCGTTGGGCTCGGCGATCGACGTAAACGGGCCTGACTGCACGAGCCGAGCGGCACGTTTAGGACTTGCGACGGTCAGCAACTGGAAGAGTCGTTTTTACTCCGTCAACCGGTCAACCGCTCGTGGTTTCTTTTTGAGTCAAGGAATTGAATCCCTTTTACCCGGGACGGAACCTTTGGCGCAATTTGAGAGGGAAGATGTGAGGGGGTGACGAACGAGGAAGGTGTGGTTAAATGAAAAAAAACAAAAGTTTAATTTACTAAAGACAACATTTTAATTTGATTGAATTTATAATTAGGATACAAAAACTTAATTCTTAATCGCATGTGTTTATAATTTTATTTGTGTATTCTTTACAAGTGTTGTGCGTATGTGTGTGTGGATTATTCCTCAGGGAAGAGGACTAGGTTTATGAAGTCAAACCCTGTGAATACAGGGTGAGGAAGATGCGGAGGAGGCTCGACGTATTCAATGGTGGTGGCTTCGGAGTTGACGGATATGTTGTCGAACTCCGGATCGTTATGTGGGAGTTCCTCCAGTTGAGCCTCTACTGGAGGAGGGTGGAAACGGACAGGCGAAGGGGGTCTGTACTCCAGGAACTCTTCAAGGATCGGAGAGATGGACCTGGGGGTAGGAAGTGGTGAAAGGTCAAGAAAGGGTTAAGGAGATTGTTGAGGAGATTCCTGAGAAATCGATGGTGATACAGGAGGTGGGTCGGTTTGCGTATGTGTGGTTGTACGAGAGTTATTACATGGGGTGTGTCGCCTAATTCTAACGGGTCTTACGGTGACCCTCGCCGCGTATCTAATGTATGGTGAGAGAAATATGGCTAGGCAGAGAGCGAATGCCGAGAGGTCCGAACGGTTCCGACGATTATTGGGTCGCGGCGAATGTTCAGTTCTCACTGATAAATAACACAAAAAATTTTAAACAAAATAGGGACGGAGCACATAATAAGAATAAAGAGAATACTAATAAGAGGAAAAATAAAAACAAATGAACTAACTTACTCGTTACAGGATAGTTTCAGATCGGGTTGAATATGTTCGGTGGTTTTGAGTAAGCGCTGTGACGTAACGATTGGTAACGATTGTAGGTAACGATTGTAAAGGTGAACGGATGTAACCGCTCTTATCACCTTTATAATATGACGTTCTGTCGTTAACGGTAAGTATTTAGTGCACCTCACCGTTTTCGTCATTGATGATGTTACCTACGTTACATAATCCGCCGTTACCACGCTCCAGGTGTGGTTTGTGTCAACGCGGTATCGTATATCTTCAGGAACGAAAGGCTCTTGTCGTCTGAACGATGATTACCTGTTTCCCGAAGACCATGAGTGGATATTTTAGGCCGCTGTCACCAGTTTTATTAATGTGGTTTGCTCCACAGGTGGTCACAAAAAAAATCGCGGAGCTGCCGTCTTAGAATTAAACGTCGCAGTCGGTTTTTCAAGGATATGTATGTATTTCTTACGTAATGGGGTAATAAAATTGATTCTCTGACTTTTACAATTTCATTATTTATTTCCTTCCTTTCATGGCAAGAACAATATGGAAACTTATTGTAAGTAAAACATGAAGAAAGTAGATTAATAATCTAATGTTATCTCTTAAGGACTCTATCTTTAGATACGATTCGCTGTAGTGGTCAGACATTGATATTGTCCTATTATTATATCTAGTTACTAAAATCGGATGTTCTTTCAATTCTTCGTAGGTGATTCTTAATTGTGTATCACCCTTGTTTCTCGTGTATTGGTCAAATAGACTCTTGCATAAGAAACACTCGGAGAATGAATATGTATCATTCAATACAGTAGAACAAGTTTCGCAACGTTTTATAAGCGTTTTGTACGATAAGGTCAGCAGGTGAAACTGATTTGGTTGGGTGGATTCGTTTTGATGATATCTATCTTTACAACTTCCACAAATTTCCTTCCTGGTTCTTTTTAATATATACGAGAATCCTCGTTGACATTTCGCTTGTTGCTTCAATAATGATTTCACTGGTTGACACAGTGAACATCTGTTATCGGCCATTGACCCGTGGAGATCCTTAAGTTAACACTTATTGGATGACAGACGTCAATTGTGCTATTGCTATTACTGCTGGTTCTCCGTTAAATATTTCCTGAATTTGTTGTTCAGTTCTTATCTGTAAGAAACTTACAGAGTGACTAAAACAAGTCACACATGATCTTACATTCCTTATATAAGATAAAACGTTATTACAAGTGGAGCAAAATTCTAAACGTGGGGTAATTCCTATTACTACACTATGTCTACGATATTTATAATAATTAATTGAATTAAAGTCTGGATCTTGGATCATGCAGGTTTGGCACAACTTATCGTATGGATTGTCTTTATGAACATAAATAGTATCTAATGTGCAACGGGCTGTATTTAATAAAATGAGTTTCACAAGAGTTGACATTATTTGACTTTTATTTCCATCTTTTATTAAAATATATATATATGTATATTTCTTAATTTAATGGATAAGTAATGGTGATTATAAAATACTTAGAATATTTTACGGTCCTAATCTATTGTAATATAAATTGCATCTCCTATGGAATGCTCTCTGTAGTTTCTAAGTTTTAACCTTATTTTATGGTGAACTAAACTAAGTATAACTTTTATAATGGTGTTAGCGCTATGGTTATATACGCTGGAAACATCTATATCAGAACGTGTAAAGGTATATAAAGAATAAGGTTGAGGTTTTATATTGTAGAAAAAGTCCCTCAACTCAGATTTGTCAAGTGAAGACAAAAAGTTATTCAGCCTATACTGGTAAGCATGACATCCCTGTATTTCCCTAATGTAACTTAAAGTATCATCACACATGGAACATCTATATTTATTGGCTAATTTATCCAAATCGATGCAAAATACCAACTTGTGTCTTAACTTTAAGATCTTATCTTGTCTCGAATCGTTTTCCGATCAGGCTAAACACTGGTAACAAATTCGGTTTGAATTCCTACCTCGATCTTGAAAATAGTATAATCGAATACAAAACAAAAACTTCTTGACAAATATGTCCTTTAAATCTAATCTATATCTTAAGAATAACTCGATGGACGGGCGATGTCTTTCATTTATTGTCAATTGATGTGACATCTAAGGAGAAATTCATCGTTTGTTTTAACAAAGATCAATTATATAATATAATATCTTTGTCTTACCTTGATATCGGATCTATTTCCTTTCTTTGCAAGAAAACAAATTTCTTTGCTCTTGTATAATTCCTTCTTTGAAGAAATTATCTAAGGAAACAATAATTAAAATAATATTAATTTAACAATGTAATATTGTTACTAAATTTCTCTGTGTCCATTAATTGTCTCTGTTTGTGGAAAAAATGTATGTAATGTATATACATGTATGTATATAAGAGTATGTTGAATAATGTTAAAATTGTATCCATTAACATTTCCTTTTATGTGAATAATATTTCAAATTTTATCTGATCTATTGTCTTCACAAATCTTTATAGAAAAAGGGGTCGATTTAAACAATGATTCGTACTCAGGGTCGTATAAACGATTAACTCCGAGATTTTCAATGATGCATATATTCGATAAAGCTACACGATATTCTTTTAATGCTTTACGCGCGCGGTATTTAATTCCACTTCGTCGTGTCTTAGGCATAGGAGTGGATTGTCAAAGGAAAATGTTGGTCAATATGATCTGTTGATAAATGTGCGGCTGTCCGCACCAAATATTACAGATCTGTGTCTCGATAGTCCACGTGCGGCTGTCCGCACAGCAGGTTCTCTAAACACTTGCTTACTTCCAACGGAATATAAAAAGGAATTTGTGAAATGTTAGGTAAGTGTCGGATAAATGGAAAACTTTTGACACTGACTGTATCTTGCTATGGTCACGAAAAACTTTTGATATTGACTGTACTGTTCGGTTGCTATCAGGTATGTGGATGGATAGAGAAATTGACAGACTGACCGGTAACCGTAATCTCTATTCGCGATAACTAAAATTTTAATAAGATAAACGCGCACTGATTTGAAGTCAATCTTCACTCACTAAAATAAAATTATTAAAATAATATTCTCATTATTATTTTAATCTAATGTAATAATATATTTATTCAAATGGTTATAATATATGTATGTGTGTCAATACAAATGTGTATGATGTGACATATGTTTTATGTTGGATATTTTATATAATTATAGAATATTTATTGGATAATATGTAAATTAAATGTGAGTACATATAAGTATATATATATATATATATATATATTGTATGATATAAAATACCAATGTAGTTGTAACAATGTTAATAACATTAATTAAATGCACGATAGTAATAATAATTGTATCTTATATATGAATAAGCATTGAGTAATATAAAATATCAAAGTAATAATAAAATATTAATAATATATTTGTCGATATTATTAACAAAATGCAAAGAATAATAATAATAAAGTGACTTATTATTTCCATTAAATCGTATTCTTTAACCGTTTCGATTCTCTCAATCAATTATATTTAAATTCTGTTCTGTTTCAATATGCCTCAATTATATATTTAGTTAATTAATTCTTTGTAAGACTTACATTAGTTCCTGTTGTTAAAGTTTATTCCTTTTCCTCTATTCTTTTTTTTTTTGTGTACATTTCCGTACCTTAAATCCCTCAGTTGCACAAGCACTGACTTTATATTTGTATTACCTTTGCTCAAAGGCTTTCACAAGTTATTAGTTACTTTAACTGTTTGAGTAATACTATTCAATCTAAAAATTCACGTAGTACTACTTGAAATGTGCCGGGGCACGCGTATATATGGGCCTTTGCCCACTCGTTCAGTGGAGGGGTGATACGCTTGGCTCATGATGATTGGATTGTAATTTCAGTGATGGGAGAATCTCCGCCTTCGTCCTCGTTGAGATTCTCCAATGAGCGGATGGAGAATGTTGGAAGGGGCTCCTATCATCTTATCTCGATATTAGTTACATAGGCAATTGCTATCTCGCGAGTCGTTGGTAGGGGTACTTGCACCGCCTCCGATGACTGCATGTTCTTATCTTCCTCGGTACTTCCCTGTCATATCTTATCCTCTTGCTGTTATCTTTATCAGCTTTGATAAGTTTATCTTCTAATAACTTCCTCGTCTTATCCTTATCTCTTGATAAAGTTATCTTCTAATAACTTTCCTCGTCTTATCTTTATCTCTTGAAATATATATTATCTCTGATGATAGGCGAGTGTAGTGGGATGGTGAGTCGCCATCGCGTCGCCTCCTACGTCACCTTCTAATAACTTTCCTTCTATTATTTCTTCATATGTCTCGCCATCGTGTCGCCTCTTGCTCCTTTGGCGGCATGCAAATGGGATGAGTAAATGCGTCAGTTCTAGATATCTCCTGACACTTCTCATGCTATCTCTTCTTGCTTTTATCTTTTATAATTTATATTTCCTGCCATAGTGGCCTTCAAGTGGAGTGAGTTTATGTGTCATCTCCACATTATTTTCCTTAGCTTTACTCTCTCTTTTAATTATCATTTCTTCCGTCCTTAGCTACTTCTTATTTTATTATAGAGGCCTCGGGCCCAATTATTATTTCTTATATTTCCTTTCATTATTTCTTTAACAAAAATAATTATAGAGGCCTCGGGCCCAATATGTGAATATCTGTCGGTGTTTCTCGCCACCGATTGATATTCAACTTTAGTAACCAAATACTTTTTAGTGTTTCTCGCCACTAATTGATATTCGGTCTTATCGATGCCTGCCACTCATTCGTTGATTAGTAACTTGTCAGCGTTTCTCGCCACTGACTTGTAAATATCTTTCAGCGTTTCTCGCCACTGACTGATATTCGCAGCTACTATTAATTTGACTATTGATGCCGAATAAATTCTTAAGCAATTTAATCGCTGTTTTTTAGTCAAGTGCGATCTTTTCGATTTACTTTATTTCAATGCCTTCCTCTTATTGATTTATCGACTGATTGGCATAAAGTTACGGATTGTTCTTTATGTATTTCCCTTTTAAATTTTCTTTGATAAGTCGATAAGTTTTGGATTTTATGCCTATTGCAAATGAGCGTTGTAAGCGTTTCTCCTCTGAACGAGTATTGTCTGAATTTTAATTGAATATATTTTAGTAAACTTAATATATGTAAGTCGTAAAAAGAATAAACGATGGTTTTAATAATAGTCACATTATTTTACAAGAATTATGACTGCAAAAATCTAATCTTAAGATTTTTTTGAAAATGTTCATAATTAGCTGGTTAATATATTTATATAAAATTTAGCGGGACGTTACAGCGCCCCGTTGAGGGATGGTGTTGTGTAGGCGTCGGACCCTTTTGTAAACGTGTGGGCACCCTGCTGCGGGATGGTGTCGTCAGGGTGATGGACCCTCTACTTGAGA